GGCGGCAGATGTCGTTGTTTTGGGGGTGTCTAAAGAAGATTGGAATATATGCTTTGACAAATGGTTCAAACGCATGCAAAAGAGTATTAATTGTAAAGGAGAATACTTCGAGAAACTATAAATCCTTTTTTGACGACAAGTTAGTATAATTCATTATTAGGCTCAAAACATAAATAGTGACCCTCGTAGTAGCTGCAGGTAGGGGAGATGAGTGCCTCTCTTGACAAGCAGTCGGGACATATAAACTGGTATTACTAAAGAAACGTTCATAGTAGCGCCAACACGAACTAAGCTATTTTTTGTGATGTTCATATAACTGGAAACCCAATAAGAGTGATAAATTTTAACGTAAAATGACATGTTTTACTTGTTAGGCTGCTGACAGGTTATTTGACTAGTTTGTCGGTGGAGACTAAAGGTTAGCCCTACTTCAAAGAGATGAATCTTTCACTTACATTCCATATGATTACTTGGCTCTAAATTGTTTTAGCAGGAGTATAATAGACGTTTTGAAAACATTAATTTATATTTTTATCTAAATGTATACATGAAAGCAAATGTTTGAAATTTGTAGTCTTACGCGTATATACTATATTGGATAAGTAAGACAAGTAAACACTTTATAAATGCAATTTATTAGTCAAACTAAACCCCAAAAATGTAAAATCTAGCTTGAATATAGCCTCATTCCTTATCTTTGGTACAGGTTATTAAAAATATTTTTTTAATTAATTTGTTATACTGTGAATTGTTTTAGTATAATAACTTAACTACTATTAAAAAATTTGAAAACAAGTTCGTTTCGATTGTCTATTGTATATTTCTAATTAAAATAAATTTATTGAACCTAACGTAAGATCTGATTACTGGTGTCCTTACATTTTTATTAGTGACGAAAACGTATCTCATATCCATCTAACATTGATCCAATCTATCTTCAGAAATTTTTGATTGTAGTTCCTTAATTTCATTCTAAAACCATTAAAAAATTCATAACCAATGTCTTTTTAAACTTGTCCTTAAATACAAATATGTGTACGTTTTTAAGTAATACTACGTTTGTTATATACTCTTTCTTATGATTTTTTGCAGTGTATATTTACATGACAAAACTGGCAATAGTTGTGTTTGAAGAATATTAAGTAATTTTCGTCCTTGTTTTTAAATTATGAATATCAGCGTCTGTGTCGAACCTATAATTAACTGAAGTTCCGATGATGAAGGTTAATTGTTTTTATTGGGCAAAGACGAAATCTTTATTCGCTACGTTTAAGTATTAATAATAAATAAATAAATAATAATATTAATAAATAATTAATTATATATCGACTATTCTATTTGTATCTGTATTTATGATAAAAAAATAGAAAAAGTAAAATAATACATATTAAATATAATATAAATATTATATTATCATTTAGAGAAGTGAATCGAATAATATACCAGGAATTTTAAATGAATTTCAGTGCAAAAGATTTTTCAAGAGTTTTAGTATTTTACTTAGTAACTTTTCTTCAAAGTAGTTCTCGACTGGCAGAAGCTGCAATATATTTGATATAAAGATATTATTTATTTGCCTATTTTATACGTTCAGATGCAGACTGGTCTTACCGTTTAATGTCACACTTATATAGAATATTTATCATTTATATGGTCCCCGATTTTTACTTGACCGCAATTTAAACGCTCTGCAAGACATAAAAAACTTCTTCCGATCTGTGTGAAAGATATTACTCTTATTTATTATCACAATTAAATGGACATTTGTAAATCAATCAAGTTTAGACAGCATGAGCACGTAATCAAATTAAGATAATAATGCCGTGGTTTTATTTAATATCACCGTAAGATTATTCAAACATTTAGTACATTAAATTTATATTATCATCTAAGGATGAAAAACCCTTATTTAAATTTTACTGAATTAATAACACCTTTTATATGATCCTTTAACCCGCGTTAATTCGTACCGATTTAGTTGGACACGCACCTATAAACGTATGGCAAAAACGAGTTGAAATCTTTAATCGCCTCGCATAAAAGACGCTAGGGCGTAAATAAACTGAAACTATGCTGAATACAAGGTAACATATTTAAAACGTTCGGAATATAAAATATTAGAGTTTTATATAAATATAAGTTTTTATAAAAGTGTGAGAGAGCATACTGTAATCGTTTGTTCCTGTGGCGTAAAAACAACAGCAATTTAACTATGCTACTTTAAAAGGAATATGCTGCACATATTCGACTCTAATAGCCTATAACGAACCCTATAAATCTAGGGTTTTAAGTAAATCCGCATTTATAAACAATTTAAACTTTAGTTCAAAATTATACATATATTATTATTATATAGGTATTATGTTTTATATTATTATATATAATATGATATATGACATTGATATTGTAACATTTCTTCTGAAAATTCTTTAGATTTTCTGATTGTCTTAAAGGTTCATACAGATATTTTATTTCAAAGGCTTGAATATTATTAATAAACACATATATTGTGTGACGTTGGGACAGCGCACCGTCCATCATGTGACCCAACTGAAGAGAAAGATTAGCCGAAGTATACTATAAAACGGCTTGGGTGCTTTTTCGTCTTTCGATTAAATAAACACATTATTAACAGCTTTAAAATTTGTATTAAATAATCTGAATATATAATTCTAACTGATATTTTAATATTTATTAATATTTGTAAGGCGTTTGCTGTACTCAAAGGACTTTTGGTTACATGTAGCGCTTTCTGTCTTCTTTGCATAATTTACATACTCCCTTTTAATTGTTTAATGTTTTTATAATTTCATATTGTAGCATTTTGAAGCCATAAAACCATTTATATTTAGATAAAGGACTATTTTTGATGAATATTAAATGCATTCAAAAATTTTCATAAAAGCCGAAAATTTTGCACAAAATTGCAGAACGCTGAAAGCTATCAGTGGCTCAACTTAAACTTTTAGTTGGTAAGACGAGGAGTGGAAAACTATTTATCGGTTCATAATAAGGTATATTAATAAAAATAATATTCAATAAAAATTGGTGGACGTTTCTAGGAATAAAATCTCACTATTACTTAAAGAAGTTAGAATTATTTAAGGACATTCAGGCAAGTATTTTCAGGACATTCAGGCAAGTTTCCATGATAATTAAGAACCGAATTTACGAGGATTGTTTGATGAGACGGGAATAAATTAAAGAAATAAAATTTGTGCTTACTTTTAAATTTATTTCTCGACATAGTCCGATTTGAGCTCGAAAACCACAATGTCATTCCATTTTTTTCTATTGTTTGAAGATTACGATTCCTTGAGGCCATTAAAATATAAGTTGTAGATATAACGTCCGGATTTAATTTCATTTCAGCTTTGTTTTGAAATTTGGAATTACATGCAAAATTAGATGGAACCAAGTCTTGAAAAATTTATGGATGAAACAGCACCTCATTTCGTAATTTATTAATTTTTGCTGTAGCATTTGGTGACAAATGAGTTGGAGAGTTGTTGAGTGAATAGAAAATTCCCTTTCTTTGTTTTAATTTTACCACTCACTCACTTTAAAACTATCACACAATATTGATCTGTTAATTTTTAACGCATCAATTATAATATACCAGATGGTTCTAAAGATATGAAGGCTATAATGTTTCTCGCTGAATCATTGCTCTTCTTTTTTGGATGGCGTTTATCAAGACTGAGTTAATTAGAAGCACAGTTAAGACGTCTCTGTCCTTTTCAGTGTTTAGAACTGTATCTTCACTTAATCTAAAGCAACAAATGCAGGTTGCAGGATCTGTGCTGAATTACACGAAAATATTTGCAAAAACTGTTTGGAATTGCGATTAGGTTTTTTTAATCCGCTGTGATTGAACATGGCTCTCATCTCACTGAAACCTTTTCATATGCAAATGCTTTTCTACGATAACGTGCCAGCAACTGTAGCAATACTGATTTCATCACGTTATGATGTGATAAATCATCCTCAGTATTTACTAGACTTGACAAGAATACATTCATTTGTGTTTCGGAGGTGGTCTTCCATTACTAGATCATTGGTTTTGTACACCATATCAGGAGTCGCCATAACATTCTGACGCCCTCGTTATGCTACACTTTCAGTGCTTTATCGACAGTAATGAAACTAGATAACCACTTTTAGATAATTCTATTTAATTGAGTTTCTAATTTCCAAATCAAACTTTTTATTTAACTCAAAAATGTTTTATGTCCAAAAAATTTGCTTAATCAATTATTGAATTTGCACTTTTTCCATTATTACAAATTCATCACAACTTGTCCATCTTTACCAGCGGGCAAAACAATAGAAGCTTCCACATGAGATATATCCAGACTTAAGCCTTTGTTTATTGTCAAATAATGAAATAAAGTTTACATAAGTATTTTTAATTTTATTTAGCTCTCCTATTATTAACTTACCAAACTGTTCTCGTTTATTAATATATATAATATCATATCTAAACAGGTATATGCATATTGACATAATATAGAACAAAATCTACAAAACCACCTCAGAATGCCCATTGCGAAATTTGATGACTTTGTGCGTTTACCAAATTTTTTCTATAAAACCATTGGTATAGAACCCTACGAAAAACCTGGAGTTGCGAAGCGTAAATCATTATTACGGCAATTGGTTTTCTTTGCTTGGTCATTGAACGTTGTGTTGGCATTAAATGGAGAAGTTTTCTTTGTGCTATTCGCCTTTGCGGAGAAGTCAGATATCCTGGAAGCGATTATGACAATGTCGTATATTGCATTCGTGGGGATTGGTTGGTTCAAAATGACAACGATTTGGCTCAAAAAACCCAAGCTTACTCAATTAATGCTAGAACTCTATCAAATATATCCACAAACCGAAGCAACACAGAGGATTT